CCCAAAAGAAAAAAAAAAGAAAAAAAAACCAACAACCTGCTTTACCACGTTAAGGAACTGGTCCAAGGTCTAGAATGCACGGTAACACAGATGTGTACCCCTACTAGGGCCTAGTCACGTTCATTATATTGTAGAGAGGTATTATATTTGCCTTTTCGTTTAATATATATATGACTATTTTTTAAATTACTTTTAAGATCTTTACAAAGGTATAAAACATAATTTGTAATATTGTCTCATTACTTTTTATAGAGGTCACTCCTTGTGCTATTATAAGGTAGGGGAAGTTCCAAAATACTAAAAATCACCGTACAGTTTTTTGGTCACATAATTTGTGATTAAACAATAGATTTCCGCTTACAAAAAGTATTACTATTGCATTGTCTATGGTGTCACTCTTTCTACGTGAAATAACCGATTAGAGAATACTTGTGAATGTATTGAGATCAGTGACAATTAAGTGGGGTGTTTTTTTGTCTTGAATCATCACGCTGAGATTAAATTTATCTAGTGACGACTAAACATGCTAGATGTTATGTTGTTAATTTCAGGTCATTTTCATTAGTTATGTGTGAATACAAATTATCGAATTGATTTATGAATGCTTAATGTATGTTTGTCATTTAAATTAGAATGTAACATTATGTTATGGCACATAAAAAACACGGCTTGTTTTCTAAAAAGATTCAAAATTTGTATTTGCACATTTGTAACTACAAAGTAGTTTGAAGGCAAAACAATGAAACACAGTGAAATACATACATAGACAGGTACATGTAGAAAAGTCGCAAGGTGATAGCTTATATTTCTAATATACATTAACTGAATTTCTTTGCGAGTTCCCGTATTTACGATCATTTGAGGGGGTGGGGGGAGTTTCCCCAACATTGATCTAAACCTCTAAAACTTGTAAAATTATTCTGAACACCTCATGCAGTTTATGTCAAGATATAGCTGTAACAAATTATTAGGTTCCCGTGTTTAACATCATTTAGGGTGGTATTATTACCGAATGTGGATTACACTAAACACCTCAGTGTCAAAATAAAGCTCTGTAACTGAGGTCCCTGTGACACACAACACACTCTAAAATAAGTAAAGACGAGTTATTCCCCTTTAATCACACTATGTTGCCAATTGAGTTATTGTGGATCGATGATCTAAAGAAAAAATCGGAGGATTTTCTCACATATAAACTGGAAACAAAGAAGACAATTTGATAACTTTATAAAGAATGTGTCCGAAGTTTTGGGGATCTTCTTTGAAATAGCCTTTCACTTCCTGCCTCGTTGCTGCAAATTAACTACGACAATATTAATGTGCCTGGTATGACATGAGGTATTCACTGCACAATATACTTGTGTGTAGTACACATCCCTGTATACAGTCATTCTTTAATTCTTAAAGCCAAAATAAGTGATTCGAAAAATTATCTTTGATTATGTCTTTAACGAAATGTAACAATCGTTTGTGAACTATTCATATTCAATAGAATAACATTTATCAGGTATAAAGATAGACTGGGTACTCTAGAGGAGTG